TCGAACTGATGACTGGCAACCGTCCAGGCCTTTATTGGCTGATATGTTGGAAGTATTTGAGCCCGATGGCTATGCTGAGCATCTTAGTTGCCTCGATCGTGGAGATCATCGTGGATGGGAGTGGTTATCCAGCTTGGGTTGCCAGCAAGGGTATTACGGAGAAACACGAGTGGCCCGTTTGGGCCCTGGGCCTCATCGGTATCCTTATCCTCGCCTCCGTTCTTTGGATTCCCGCCGTTGCAATTTGCAGGTAATATCTCCTTTTATTTGTTGTTAATTTCATAAATTTTATAAAGGATCCATGAAATTTTTCTATTTTTTGTTATTTTTCTTTTTTATCTTTATCTTTGCATCAGTTATGTTACGAGTCGAGTTATAATTGTCGAACTGGATTTCGTATTTTACAAGATTAATATAATTTTTCCATTTTGGTAGAATCGTATTTTCTTATTTTTTTTTCTATTAACGATTTCAACTTTGAATTTTCTTATTATAATAATTCGCATTCTTCGATCTCTGTCTCTCTCGTCTCTTTCCCAATTTTCAAGATTCAAACAGGATGTGTAATTTTTTTAATTTGTTATTTTACACTTCAACTTTTTCTCTGTCACTTATTTTCCAATCTTACACTGAAACTTGACTTCATATTTCACGATATACACGTATAATTTTAACTAACTTCTTCTTTACCATTTAAGTCTTAATTTTAAACTCAAATTTCAATATGCATGTATAATTTTTCTAACTTCTTTTTTTTTTCAATTTCACAAGATTCATGGTATGATTTTTCTATTTTAATATTTTAGTGCTTCAACTTTTCAAATTCGACTTCACATTTCACAATATGCTTGTACAATTTTTCCAACTTCTTCTTTACCATTAAATTCTCAAATTTCACAAGATCCATGGCATAATTTCCCTATTTTAATATTTCGCGCTTCAACTTTGCGCTCAAATTCGACTTCACATTTCACAATATGCTTGTACAATTTTTCCAACTTCTTCTTTACCATTAAATTCTCAAATTTCACAAGATCCATGGCATAATTTCCCTATTTTAATATTTCGCGCTTCAACTTTGCGCTCAAATTCGACTTCACATTTCACAATATGCTTGTACAATTTTTCCAACTTCTTCTTTACCATTAAATTCTCAAATTTCACAAGATCCATGGCATAATTTCCCTATTTTAATATTTCGCGCTTCAACTTTGCACTCAAATTCGACTTCACATTTCACAATATGCTTGTATAATTTTTCTAATTTCTTTTTCTTTCAATTTCATAAGATTCATAGTATGATTTTTCTATTTTAATATTTCGCGCTTCAATTTTTCCACCTTCTTCTTTACCATTAAATTCTCAAATTTCACAAAATCCATGATTTTCCTATTTTAATATTTTGGTGCTTCAACTTTTCCAACTTCTTTACCATTAAATTTTCAAATTTCACAACATCCATGATATGATTTTCCTATTTTAATATTTCGCGCTTCAGCTTTTCACTCAAATTCAACTTCACATTTCACAATATGCTTGTACAATTTTTCCAACTTCTTCTTTACCATTAAATTCTCAAATTTCACAAGATCCATGGCATGATTTTCCTATTTTAATATTTTAGTGCTTCAACTTTTCATTCAAATTCGACTTCACATTTCACAATATGCTTGTACAATTTTTCCAACTTCTTCTTTATCATTAAATTCTCAAATTTCACAAGATCCATGGCATGATTTTCCTATTTTAATATTTTAGTGCTTCAACTTTTCATTCAAATTCGACTTCACATTTCACAATATGCTTGTACAATTTTTCCAACTTCTTCTTTATCATTAAATTCTCAAATTTCACAAGATCCATGGCATGATTTTCCTATTTTAATATTTTAGTGCTTTAACTTTTCACTCAAATTCGACTTCAAATTTCACATATGCTTGTACAATTTTTCCAACTTCTTCTTTACCATTAAATTCTCAAATTTCACAAGACCCATGGCATGATTTTCCTATTTTAATATTTCGCGCTTCAACTTTGCACTCAAATCCGACTTCACATTTCACAATATGCTTATATAATTTTTGCAATTTTTTTTTCTTTCAATTTCACAAGATTCATAATATGATTTTTCTATTTTAATATTTCGCGCTTCAATTTTTCTAACTTCTTCTTTACCATTAAATTCTCAAATTTCACAAGATCCACAATATGATTTTCCTATTTTAATATATCACTTTCGACTCTTTCAAACTCAATTTCACCCTAAATTTACCTAAACCCATCCCTATAAAACAACCTTACGAATCTTTCTCTCTAATTTTCTCGATTCGCAATTCAGACTTTTCGGGATACTGATAATCGAGGATAACGAGAAAGCGTGGTTCCCGGCTGCCGATCTGAAGGAATTTCACGGTATAGTGCCCCACGAGGTGACATCGGCGGAAACGTTGCTGTTCTGCATAAGGAGCGACGGTTCAGAGGGACTGTGTTGCCCGACCGGGGGTCCCAGCGACGACGACGAGGATCTCACCTAGGAATGGTTATCCTCTCACGCGTTCGATTAACGTGCGTTCAAACGGTTCGACGGGCCGAGGAACAGCACTTTTTTACTTCGTATCGTTGGCGTGGATCGTTGCCAGATCTCGCATCTGTCGTTCTTCGTTTCAATTTAAGCGCCGCGCCTGACGTACTCTTTATTTTCAGAGAGCATATATCTTAGAAGGGTACATCGTGTCAATTAATCGAAAATACCACGTATCGTATAATTCGATCTACGCGTATGTTTGTGACGACGTTCGTTTAAGGGAAAAGAAGAACAGAACGCACTTTTGAATGGAATCACGAAGGGAGGTAATTATTTACTTTATCTTTTCTTTCAGAAAAGTGATCTTTCTCTATCTCTCTCTCTTTCTCTGTCTGCTGTTTTCTCGAGTCTTTGAATCATTTAACGCGAATGTCAATATCGATTGGGAGGCGAGGAAATGGAAGCGTTTTCGACGAGTAATGTTTTGAATGAGAAAAATGAATACGATATAAGCGGATAAGTAAAAAAAAAAGAAAGAAAAAAAGAAAAAAAAATAAGTAAGGAAATAAATAAGAAACTGCAAGTTTCTACTTTCAAACTTACAGTTTCTTTGCTTGCGAAGATATACGATGCATCCCGATGCGTTTATATTTATCGTTATATTTTATCGTTATTCGATTCGTTTTTATGAAGTTATTTTGCATTGTGAAAAAGCAAATTTCGAAATTTTATCTTTTATACATTGTGATAACGTTAGAAAGGAATTTAAATTTAAGAAAGAGGAAGAAATACGAATAGAAGAGAGAATGCAAGATGGTATGCAAAAAGGGGGAAAGAAAAATTACATATGATATCAAAAATTACGATTCTCGTATGATTTATCAAGAGAGATGTATCGTGTATTTCAAAGACTATATAGCATATAACGCGTCATTTTAGCACTTAACCTTACATTACTTCTTAAAAGACAAGTTGAAACCCTGCAACGACAGATTTGCAGATGATCATGATAAAATAGGATAACTAATAAGTTAAAGTTTAGACTCGAAATAAAACTTTTACCGCTTAGCAAAAATTGCAAATAACGTGAGAAACCTAAGATTAGATGTAGGAGCCGTCCAATGGCCGTAAAGGAAAAAAAAAAAAAAAAGAGAAAAAAAAGAACAAAAAAAAAAAAAATGGGGACGATCCCGAATTTTATTCCACTTTTTTATCTTCTACTTCATCATTATTTTTTTTTCCTTTTTTTTTTATTATTATTATTACTTTAGAACACCGATTGATTCTCCATTGTGCTCTTATCGTCGCGAAATTATAATATTATACAAAGATCTAATTAAAATCCTAAAGATCTATTGTTTGAACGTAAGTTTTAAGAACGTATTCAAAAAAAAAAAAAAAAAAAAAAAGAGAGAAAAAGGAGCAAATCCGATCAAGAATCATATCAATGATCTCGTTTCGCAAAACGATGTGATCAAGTGTGATGAATTCGAATAGTTGAATTAGCCCCATCCCTAGCTCTCTTATTATTAAATCGAATATCAATTATTACTTTAGCTATACATATACATACATACATATCTCACGTGTCGAATTTATAGAATTTCTTTCTAAATCGAGAGAGGGAATAAAAAGTAAGGGCGAGAAGAGGAGGTAATAATAAAACAATTCGATGGTGAACGAAGCTAAAGTATCGATATCGAGGGAAGAGGTAAAAAAAAAAAGAAAAAAAAAAAAAATTACGATCTTGTTCGACGTTGCATAAACAACGTTGTTATAAAAGACAATAAGAAATTTTTTTTTTTTTTCCTAAGACTCGGTCGGGAGTCGTGTACGACAATAATAATGAGATTCGACGACGAAATCGAAAATTAATATTAATCGAGACGATTAAATAATTCGACAATAAGACAATATGTATAAAACGTACTGCACTATTACACATTCTTGCACATTATTCACCGAGGCCTACGAAAAAAATCGAGGAGGAGGATGGTTGCTTCGATCGAAGGAATAGAGAATATCGTATATTTTTTCTTCGAATCGTCGATATTTTTTTATATCGTTCTTCCATTCTTCCTCTT